AAATCAGATCCCCATACCCCAACCCATGGTCCCATAACCCCAAATCAGAGCCCCATGATCCCATTTCCCTCCCCCCCAGCCGGCAGCAGCTGCTGCGTTTGGTGCCGCCCCACTGGCAGCAATGGGGCAACAGCTGCATCCTACAGCCTGGGGGTGGGGGGAGAGCCGGCACCGTCCGACCCCAAAAGGTGTCTATGGGGTCGGGGGCCGTGCGGGGTGCGGGATGGGGGTCCTTAGGCTCCGCCCCCCCCAGGCGATATGTACAGCCACGACGGGGACGCCGACGAACCCGAGTGGGTGAAGACGGAGCGGGAGCAGTTTGTGGAGTTCCGGGACAAGAACCGCGACGGGAAGATGGACAAGGAGGAGACGCGGGACTGGATCCTGCCCTCCGACTACGACCACGCCGAGGCCGAAGCCAGGCACCTCGTCTACGAGTCCGACCAGGACAAGGTGCGCCAGCCCATAGCCTCATGTCCATTAGGGCCCGGCCATCCCATAACCTGTGTCCTGTGGGATCCAGCCATCCCATAACCTCATGTCCATTAGGGTCCGGCCATCCCATAACCTCATGTCCATTAGGGTCTGGCCATCCCATAACCTGATATTATGTGGGATCCAGCCATCCCATAACCTCATGTCCATTAGCGTCTGGCCATCCCATAACCTGATATTATGTGGGGTCCAGCCATCCCATAACCTCATGTCCATTAGCGTCCGGCCATCCCATAACCTCATGTCCATTAGCGTCCAGCCATCCCATAACCTCATGTCCATTAGGGTCCAGCCATCCCATAACCTCATGTCCATTAGCGTCCGGCCATCCCATAACCTGCGTCCTGTGGGATCCAGCCATCCCATAACCTCATGTCCATTAGGGTCCGGCCATCCCATAACCTCATGTCCTGTGGAATCCATCCATCCCATAACCAGCGACCTGTGGGGTCCAGCCATCCCATAACCTGCATCCTGTGGGATCCAGCCATCCCATAACCTGATGTCCATTGGGATCCAGCCATCCCATAACCTCATGTCCATTAGCGTCCGGCCATCCCATAACCTCATGTCCTGTGGGTCCATCCGTCCCATAACCTGATGTCCTGTGGGATCCAACCATCCCATAACCTGATATTGTGTGGGGTCCGGCCATCCCATAACCTCATGTCCTGAGGGATCCATCCATCCCATAACCTGATGTCCATTGGGGTGCAGCCATCCCATAACCTGCATCCTGTGGGATCCAGCCATCCCATAACTTGATGTCCATTGGGGTCCATCCATCCCATAACCTCATGTCCTGTGGGATCCAGCCATCCCATAACCTCACACCCTATGGGATCCAGCCATCACATAACCAGCATTCTGTGGGATCCATCCATCCCATAACCAGTGACCTGTGGGATCCAGCCATCCCATAACCTCACACCCTATGGGATCCAGCCATCCCATAACCCCACATCCTATGGGACCCAGCCACCCCATAACCCAGCATCCTGTGGGATCCAGCCGCCCCATAGCGCTGTCCCATGGGACCCATCCCTCCTTAGGGAGCCCCCACCCCCCGCTCTCCCTGTAGGATCCCTCCCTCTCCCCATGGATCCCTCCCTCCTCCCATAGGTCCCCTCCCTCCCCCCATAAATCTCTCCCTCCCCCCATGGATCCCTCCCTCCCCCCATAGATCCATCCCTCCC